TATGAAACAATGACAAAAAGTAATAAGCAAAAGGATGTATGGAGGGCAGCTTACCAAGCTCTAAACAGATCAGTGAACACTAAAGTCTCCAAAATAAATAAAATACTACATACTGATGTACTCACAGAGGATCCAACGGAAATAAGTGAAGCTTTTAATAACTACTATGTGAATATAATTGAAGATCTAGCTAAAGACCTGCCTCATCATGGAGATTCCACTAATATTCAAACATCTCTTAGCAGCATCTATCTAACACCCACTGATGAAAAAGAGCTGAACGAAATTATTACTACCTTAAAACCGGGAAATGGAAGTCATGAAGATATCCTGTCATCTAATATGATTAAGAACTGTGCACCTGCTCTTCTTCCAATCTTAGTCAGTTTGATAAATCTCACATTCACACTGGGTGTGTTTCCAGACTACTGTAAAATTGCTCGAATAACCCCAATATATAAGTCAGGTGATAAAACCCTTCCATCAAATTATCGCCCCATCAGTATTTTAAAAGTTCTCTCCAAAATCTTGGAAAAATTAATGAAGAAAAGACTTACATCCTTCCTCTCATCAAACAATTTCTTCACAAAACTGCAATATGGTTTTAAACCAAAAAGATCAACTGAATGTGCAGCTACAACAGCAGTAAAAATAATCCAAGAGAATTTAGATGAAGGCAAGTTGTCAGCAGGCTTACTCATAGACCTAAGTAAAGCTTTTGATACAGTTAATCACTCCATACTTCTAGATAAATTAGAGGCGGCAGGTATAAGAGGACCAGCAAATGAATGGCTGAATTCATATCTTCCTGAATAGGTTTCAATATGTTTTTATCGCTGGAACACCCAGCAGCTTAAGGAACATAAAGGTAGGTGTGCCCCAAGGTTCTGTGCTTGGGCCACTCCTATTTATTATCTTCATTAATGATATTGCAAGACTTAAATTACGAGGAAAATTAATGCTTTATGCAGACGATATCTTGATTTTGTATGAAGGATTCTCTGAGAATAATATCATGGAAAAGATAAATGAAGATCTGAAAGTCATTCATGATTGGATGAGCAATAATCGACTGATCATAAATTTAGAAAAAACAAAATATCTATTTTTCCACACTCCAAGATATAAAACAACATCTATAAATATAGTAATGCAACAACACCTCTATTGAAAGATGTACTAGTGGACTATACAGGGTGGTCCACAGACCCCTTCCTTTATTTTGCTTATACTGTACCGCATGCATGCGTGCGGGCGGGCTTGCCTACTGTCGCTCACCATGGGCGCCTTATGGCCCCGTGCGAGTATGCAACGCGTCCGCACGCCTGTATCCGGTACAGTATAAGCAAACTAAAGGAAGGGGTCTGTGGACCACCCTGTACCTTGGACTACATCTGGAATCAACCCTCAACTGGAAGAAACAAATTGAACATATAAAATCAAAGATCTTGCCTGTGGTGGGAATTCTAAGTAAACTTCGTACTTCTGGACTCAAGCCTACTATTCTAAAGAACATTTACTTCACACTAATTCACTCTCACTTCACATACTTAAGATCAATCTGGGGTCACTGTACCAAGGAACAGATAAGAGAACTGGAAGTCATACAAAAAAGAGCATTGAATAAATTCATATTTAATATGCACTATCTTGAACCTACCATCTCTGTTTACAAAAAAACAAATGTCCTTCCAGTTTCTGTTCAAGCTAAATTATCCTCAGTATCATATATTCACAAAATAAACCAATATCATGTAGCACCAGACATCAACTTAATAAAAAATAAAGACATTCATAGCCATTACACCAGGTCCTCATCTCGTATTCATCAAACTAGTCACTCATCAACAAAACATGGAGTCAAATCATCTTTCAATACTTCTGTCAAACTTTGTAATGATCTACCAGCTAATGTCACCAGTATGTCCATGCCATCTTTTAAAAAAGTTGTAAAAAATCAGTTCCTAATGGAGTACTTTAATAATTTTGTGTAAACTGTCCATCAGCACCGCCTGCTCTCAACTTGTAATAATTTTGAGTGTCCCTTAGTACGAGCCTTGTCTCATGGGACCCATGTGGTTTAATAAATAAATAAATAAATAAATAAAATACATGCAGACAAAAAAGAGGGGGCATTTTCAATCACTTCCAAGCAGGGCACACACTTGTCCACGGTCAATACCACTGATCAAACTGCACCCTTACATGAGTAGCACCACAGCAATCTTCTGTTTACCAAACAAAATGAAATGCACATGTTCAATGCTTCACAAATAAATTTAGTTGTGCAGAAATGTTAGTACCAGGTACTACTCCATTACACCAAAATATAAATAAGTGAAGCACAGGCAACAACTTAAAGCGTGGTGAGCTTGTACAGACTGAAGTGGACAAAGTGTGCATGAATGGAATTTCAGGTGCAAGAAGGATTCACTTACTCTTCATTGAAGACTTTGCATGCAGGAAGCAAGCCCCAATTCATAGTTTTCAATTCATTCAAGAAATGATTCAGTTTTTCAGCCATGTACAGCAAAGTGTCACGAGAAACTTTTTCTAAATCATAGGAGCCGCATCCATCCCAAAGACTGCCCAGGAAGTTTGCGTGCTTTCCAATGAAGTGCTGCTTCCTCTGGACTCTAAATTCCTTATTAGCAATTGAAAAGAGCTCCCCACATAGGACACACGACTCTGTAAACCAGTGGATCCGTCTACTGCTGCTGTACTTTTCATGCCGCTTCTTCTCTACAGGATCAACAGTGGACAACTGACAACACTGCAATGGAAAAAGGAATATTAACCAATTTATTACAGATTTTTTTAAAAAGATGACATATAATGAAGAAGTTAATTTAAAAACACGTAGATTACCTCAGGCAAGAACCAATCATGAAGTATGGGCATCTCTGTGCGACCGTAATCCCACTTGAGCTCCTTGCCAGGACCGTGAGAACCAGACAAGTATATCCTGCACATGGAATGGCTCTCACATGTAATGACTGCAACCTTCTGTTTTTTAGTTTCGCACCAGTTCATATAGCTAACCGGTCCCCCAAAATATCCGTTAGGTTCAAGTGCACTCCTATTAAAGACATGTGCCAAAGCCAACTCTTTTGGAATCTGGGCTATCCAACCGAATTCTATAGCTTCCAGTGGTTTGATGGAAACATTAAGTGGTTTATCAGTCCTAACCCGGACTCGGTAACCCTCCAACTCTGCACCCTTCTGGATGAATACCTCGAACAAAGTCGACGCTATCCTCCACATTTCCCCAATTCTAATTTTCAACAATTCGAATTCTTGTGATGTGAGACCTGTGGGGGCAAAAAACATACTATAAATATTTCACGTGCACAGAATAAATGTTTATGCTATAGTACAACGTCATGACACTATTACCTTGTCCCTCACCCTCAGCTTCTCCACATGATAATCCATCTAATGCTGAACAAGTTCGTAACGGACACCCCTTCATGTACTTCCTCCCGCATTCATTGTCGTGACACCACAATGCTCGGAGTTGGGCTGCCGAGACTCGCAGTCCATTAGATGCAGTCCTACACCATAAAAGAAGAGGCAGCTCATGTTAGTTCACATCAACATCTTTTCATTTTCAGTAAGAAAACATAACCTATAAACATACACAACAGAAACAGAAGAATTCTGTCCAGCACTTTTATAACTGGTACGCGGACGTTTCCGCTCTCTTGTTTGCATCTTGCAGACTAGTGCAAAATAGTGAAAATGGAAAATAACAAATATGTGGTACAATAATGTTCTGAAGACAAAAGCGCACCGCACCCAGCTGCTTGCTGCTTGAACGAAAGACGACTGCTGCCGCGAGATGTAGCCTCGGCCTCGGCCGCCCCGCCGGGGTAAGTAACAAGGCCAAAAAGTGTACACAGCATTTCCATTCCACCCATTTCCCCCATTTTCACCCATTTTCATCCATTTCATCATCTCCGTCCATTTCTACCCATTTACAATCCATTAATTTCCAAGCCATCTGTCAATTTCCGTCCATTTCCCCCATTCCCATCCATTTCCCCCATTTTCATCAATTTTATCCATTTTCATCTATCTCTATCAATTTCCAATCCATTTCTGTCCATTTCCGTCCATTTCCACCCATCTCCCCCATTTTCATCCATTTTCATCCATTTTCATCCATTTTCATCCATTTTCATCCACTTTATCCATTTCCAATCCATTTCCGTCCATTTCCCCCATTTTCATCCATTTTCATCCAGTTTCATCCATCCATTCCATCCATTTCTATCCATTTCTATCCACTGCCAATCCATTTCCAATCCATTTTCGTCCATTTCCGTCCATTTCCACCCATTATCACCCATTTTCATCCATTTCCAATCCATTTCCAGGGAAAGTGTACACGCATTTCCACGAGTTACTTACCCCGGCCCCGCCGGCCGCAGGGGCAGGGGATCCGCTGCGTCGCTGCGATCGCCGATCGCCCTGGCCAAGCCTTGAGAAAAGGCCAAGGCCAAGCCCTGGCTCTGCATGGTCCGCCCGTGCCGCAAGGCCGGCGACGCCCTTCTCTGTCGGCTCTAGCTCCTAAAATATTATAAAAAAAGGGTAGGTCAAAGCGAGCCGATCGTAGCTGAAGGTTCCAGCTATCATCGCCGTTAATAATTTTCCGATCCGACCCATACAACCCGGGACGCCGCTATGGCAAAGATTGCCGTGAGCCTGAATGGTAGGCAACTTCTCGCCTGCCGTTGACGCGCGTACTGCGGGGTGGCCTATCCCAAGGCTCGCTTGCGCTGTTTAAGTGTTGAAATGCTTGGTTTGATCAAAAATAGCATCTAGAAATAATCGTAAACTCTTACAGAACACATGGAAATGAAATCAATAGTAGGAACACATAGAAAAAGTTAATAAGTACCAATCGACAAAAGCACATGGCAGCATTGAGACGCAAACTCAAATTTTAACGAAAAAATACAATTTTTCGGTGGTTCAAAATAAATTACTGCCACGGGACAAGCTAAGGGATCGTCCGCCTGATGCACCAATGTTTTAGTGTTGAAATGCTTGGTTTGAGGGTGCTAGGGTGTGTCTGATAAGTTACTAGTTATCACTTTGGTATTATTTATTGGGTTTATGCCAAATACCCCTGCCCTACCCCTAAATACTGATCTGCTGTACATTGCTAAGGGTGCCTAAGTGGGTGCATACCTTAATGGTTACATTACCGAACTATTAGTTAATCCTTAGATGCGCTCTGGCTGGAGGCTGCGTCGCGACTGTCCGCTCGGCCGAGGCCTCGCGTCCAGCCGCGCCGGCATTCTGCAGCGCTTGCATTTTGGCGGTCAGTCGCCCTTCGCTCTCCTACAACAGCGCCAATGCGCGAGGTGTCACTGCTAGCGTCCGCGGTGCAAACATCGCCGTCCTCTGACCGCCGTCGCCCTGCTCTCCCCCGACCATAAGCGGGAACGAGCGGCCCCCCGCGAAGTGAGCGAGAGAATTTTTCTAACATTGTGACCTAAAGACTGATTTTTAGAGAGCTTATCATGCTATGTTAATAGACCCTTCTACCGTTTTCATTTCACTTCTGGTTTCGTCAGCCAGGCTGGATCCTGTCTGCGCCCACTCGTGAGCTCCTTCAGGACCCACCTATGGGCGTCTTTTTGTCTTTGGTCACTGCTTTGGTAAATAGCGAGCGAAGCGTGCGAAAAAACTGTTGTACTGCTGCAAGGCCAAGACATCGGTAGTGCACCAATGACCCCAGCAGGGCCCTGGGCAGGGCCCCGGGTAGGGCCCCGCTTACGAATCACAGTCTATGTTAAAGGCAAAATGACAGTGAAACTTAAAACACTGCGCACTTTTGTAGTTATGCTGTGGCGCATTCCTACGTGCGGGTGGCTGGCCTACTCGCTCGGCCCGTAAGGCGCCGTGGACAGGGGCGATAGGCAAGCCCGGATAGGTAAATTTACTCAAGCTGGGTGGGTACATTTGCAGCCCGTGGCGGCCCGTGGGCAAGCGGAGGATCCGCGCTTGCCCGGGGAATTCCCGTTATGGCCCGCGAAATTTGCAAGTGCGGGCAATCACGTGCGCACGCCCAATGGGCATGGGGCTCAGCCCAACCTGCCCACTGGGTAGGTAAAGCGGCTTTACAAGACCGGTGGGTAAAATTACAAGTCCGGTGGGCGGGTAAATATCCACTGATTTTTTATAGTAAATCAACGCGTACGCACCGGACACGCGCACGCCGCCGCCGGCGCCGCTGCTACTGGTGATAAAAGTTTTCTTTCAGTGTTCTTTAACAAATGACCCAGGCGCGGCGTAGTCACCAGTCCTTGTGGCTGTGGTGGTGAGACGCGGGGTCCCCCCCCCCCCTCTCTCCATGACAAAGCTGTAAAATGTGACGGATGTAGAATTCTGGTCTCGCCTCGCTCGCGCAGGAAAGCCTGCGTCTGCGTGGTGCCGGTCTGACTTGCGTGCAAGCCTGCACGCACTCCGGGGGCGCACAGAGCATAGAGCATCAAATGATAAAGGTAAATGTCAGCCTAAGACATTATTTGTACTACTTGGTTCATTTGAGTCTGGCGGAACTCCAGTCCAACATTCTTTTACCCGCCGAGCGCCGGCCGCCCCGGCTGCCTCATAAAACCGCAACCCTTGTCCCCGCCCCGCGCGCCGCTCCCGGCCGCTCCCTGTGACGGAAGCTGTCGCCTCGCCTGATCCAGCTCTCGCCCTCTCCCCTTTCCCGCCCACACCCCTCGGCCCGGTGCCGTCTGGAAGACCTGCAAGAATGTTATCCGTTCTACTCATGTCGTGTGGGCTGGGCTGGGTCGGCCTCCTGTAGGCCACCCAGGCAATGTCGGAGGCAAATGAAGGTATACCTTCGCCCTTGAGCAGCCCCCGTAATACCAGATTTGGACACTTCCCCTCCAATAGTTCAGGAGCTGTGGGCGCGTAGGCCTAGACCACCCTTTCGGCTCGGTTGTGAAGCGGTTGCCTACCTATCGGGCGCACAAGGCCATACTAGAGTGTAGGGCTTCTTTCTACACGCTCGGCACTATCATGCGCTCACGGGTGGTGTCCACATGGCGTCCTGGACCACCACATTCACCTTCTGAGCACAGCGCAAAGGCATTTATTATCTGCTTCGAAAGGATTTTAGAATGTCTTACGTTGTTTGCGTCCAGGCTTGCAGCAGTTGACAGCAGAAAAGGCTTGATGGTTCGGCCTGTCCATCTGCTAGGCGCAAATGATAATGGGGAGGGGTGGGTCTTGGTACAGTACGTTCTTGCAGGTTGGTCCGCGGTTTCTGGGTCCTGGAGAGGCCGTGGTTGAGGGGGGGGGGGG